TTTTTTTTGTTTAGTTTTAGTTAACTATATAACCCTGCTTTACTGTGTCTGTACCTGCAGACTTTTAAAAAGTGCTTTTTGTAATCATTTTAAAATTAAATTTGACTTTAAAGTACATTTTACGTAAATCATTATGTCATTGCTGTGCTTTAAAGTACACTTAACATACTAAAGCACATGTAACAATTATAATTTTAACTGTAGTGTTATTTGATTAAAAATTGAAAGTTGATTTTGAATGTTTATTGTCTAAAAAGTCCACAATGCCAAACGTGTCCACCCATTGCTACTGAACAAATTTCACAACATATTTCTGATTACTAATACTTCACTCATAGTGGGCTGGGCTGAGTGTGCTGAGTGGGCTGTATGCTAAAGTGTGCTTTAAGTGACAGCATACTAAGCAGGTTTCATTTATTTATGTGACAACACACAATCACACACCTTCGGAGCACCATGTCATTGGGATGACCGGCATTGCGTAAGTCTACGGCATACTTATTCATCTGCTCAATCAGAGCCGCTGCCGAATTCATGTTTTTGTCCACTTCAGCTGCTAGTCCCATCTGCAGAAACATGACAGAAAATCACATGGAAAGCAGTAAAAGATCATGTGTGTGTCACATGCATAAAACGTTGTCAAAGTGTGTGAATGACACTTACATTCTCTAGGATGTTCTGTGCTCGATTCAGACAGCCCATACATTCGTTGTGAAGCATCTGAGCTCTTTTTTGAACAGACATGGACGACATGCTTAAAAAAACCAGACAAAATCAATCAATAAAAATACAGTAAAAATGTTACATTTTGACAGATCGTGTATTAGATCACTAATTATTTAAGGTATTTTAAAGCAAACAGATGTTTCATGTTTTGTTGAATTGATTTAACCATCATTCAGTTCAAAGACAGATCAGAAGATATTGTCAAACTGGAATAATAGTTGACATGTTGTGTTTAAAAACAAACAAGCCAGCTTACATTTTGAATGTCCCATAATTGTAATGCATGCATTTACATGCAAAGTTCACATGCACAACCATTTTATGAAAGCACTGTTTGATATAATACACAATACATACATTTTTGACATACAGTACGTATAGTTATTCAATGAACGTATATTCTATAGCTCAGATGAGATAATTTTCTGACTTTTTAAATGCAGACTTTAGTAACAATAAAACAGTTGCTATTTTATTCATGGAAACCCACCTCTGTCCCCCTCCTCCTCCTCCTCCGCCTTGTGAGTTTCTGGAGAATGTTTGTGAAATGGTCTGCGTATAGCCATCATTGAACTCAGACTGGTATCCATTTCCACTCATCATGTACGGCGCAGCCTCATTCCGGGGTAAACTGTAGCCCACGGTGGTCAGATCGGGCCGGGAGTTGGATCTGCGGCCGATCTGGTGGAGTCTGGTCTGAGATCCGGACAAACTCATCTCTGCAGAAGAGTGCAGCACCAATTCAATGACCAGTCTCAACCAAAGGAAGCGCAAGGAAAGTTATAAAAGTCCTCCTGTTCTCCTCTACTCTTGTTGCGCGTCTTTGCGCGTCGGTGAGTGCGCAGAGACTGGCCACTGCGCTCTGGATAGTTCCGGTTTTGCAGTTAGACCACACCTGCACAGTCTCTCTGAGGCTCACTGAACTCACTGCTTCACCCTGAGGACAGTCTTCCCACGAGGCGTGATATCACTCATCGTCACGTTCCCACGGAATTCTTTCATTCGGTCAAATTCGTTTTTCCTCCTTAAAGTATTTGGGTAACACTTTAGAATAATGGTCCGTTGTTAACAAGTAA